CAGCTAGGGGCCATAGTCTCAGTGGTTCCACCAGGCTCTATCAGACCAGCAAACCTGGTCCCGTTTTTTTTTTTTCCCCAAAAAATAATTTTGAGTTTTGTTCCACATCGTTGTCCCACTTTATCCAGGATCTCCTACATAGATCCTCCTCTGAGTGGTTGATAGTGGTAGCCGGGCACCATCTAGTTCTTCTCTTCTCATAGTCATATAGGCTGAGGATTGCATGGTATACCAGTCACCAGGACTGATTGTTTCCATGAATCTTAGGTTTTCTTCATTCTTCTTTGCTCTGGACAAGGAGAGACCCATGGTTGCATCTAGGTGGCTGCTTACAAGCTTTTAAGATCCCAGTCACTACTCGCCAAAGTAGGATGTGGAACAGTATTTTGTGTAGTATGTTATGCCAGTTGAGCTTGATGTCCCCTGTGACTATGATCCCAAGCCCACAGGTTCAACTACTTGGTCCCTCTGAGTAGCTGGCTGTGACCAAGAAGTGACTACAACCTTGTCCCTTGTCAGCTCTACTATACACCTGGGAATTCTGCCAACCCTATACATGGTCTTGGGTACACTCCCCACTATATAGACATATCTAATAGTTCAGCCTGTCCACCCATCTTTCCACCCGTATATCAGTGTTTGCCTTCATTGACAAGGCAGTACTGTATGTGCAAAAGGGTTCATCTTTGTTTTCTGTACCTCCCATGTACCGCTCTCTACGTCTTCCTCTTCCTCAATGCCACCATGTTGATCACTAACATTTGGTACATTGCCCTTCTATTCACCCAAATCAACACTTACCTCTACCTTTCTAACAGTGTTCCCTACCCTACCCTCCCACCCCTGGTACAGCAAAGAAAATTTCCTTCCATATATAAACCGTTCCTTGATTTTACAGTAACAGATTAATACAATATTTGTCCTTCTGTGATTGACTTCTTTCACTCAGCATAATGTCCTCCAAGTTCATCCACATTGTGTGGCATTTTGCAGATTCTAGGTTATTCTTTAGGATTGCATAGTATTCCATTTTGTGTATGTACCATAGTTTGGTTATCTATTTCTCAGTTGATAGACACCTAGGTTGTTTCCATCTTTTGGCTATTGTAAATAGTGCTGTGATGAACATGGGTGTGCATATGTCTGTTCTTGTC